CCGGTGCCGCCGGCTCTGCCCGCGCAGGACCAGGGCGAAGACCACCAGCAGGGCGATGATGAGGCTGGACAGGGCCACCACCAGCAGGAACCACCACTCCTCGTAGAACGGGGCGTCCGCTTGAGCTGGGGCAGACAGGCACACGGTCACGCTCGGCAGACAGTCGCCACCCGCCCGGGCCCGAGTCGCAGGGAGGGGGAGCCACTGTCTGGCCACCAGCTCCCGGCTGGGGTTCAGCAGGAGGACTCCCGCCCTCTCTGGGGACTGGCTGGGCTGCTCTGTGTCCCACGCTGTCCCCACTCAGCCTTCTCTGTCCCCGAGCTTGTCCTGCCTTGTCATCCACTCTGCCCTTCACGCTCATTTCTCATTTCACCTGCTCACAAGTGTCTGGGTTAAAGGAAAGGGGGGACAAAGTGCCGGGACGTCCCTCTCTCCGTGTGCTGGTCCCTCCAGTTACCCCACCTTCCCCATCACACCACCACCGCCTGGGGCCCTGGTCACCTCCTGCCCGCCGTGGTCACCTCCCTCCTACCCTGGTCACCTCCCGCTTACCCTGGTCACCTCCCTCCTGCCCTGGTCACCTCCCTCCTGCCCTGGTCACCTCCCTCCTGCCCTGGTCACCTCCCGCCCGCCCTGGTCACCTCCCGCCTGCCCCACCAATGCAACCACTCCTGACTCAAGTCCATTCTTCACATGGCCCCAGAGAGATCTTTCTCAGAGAGAATCCGGTGCCCCCCTTAGTCCATTCAGGGTACAAAGTAAGCCCAGAGGCCCCCGAGCTGACCCTGCTCACACCTGCGGGACGGTGTCCACGCCTAGAAACCGCCGTTTGCAGGCCCCCGTGGGGAGGAGGGGGTCTGCCTGGCTCCCTACTGGCCTCCTCCACCCTCGGGGTCTCCCAGGCTGGGCTGTTTTATTTACTTCATACCCCAGCATAACTGAGCGAACAACCGGCCCCATTTCCAAATGTTTTCCGAGAAACAAATAGAAAAGGTTTCACTTATGAGCTGCTTTGAAGGAAGATGCTCACTTCCTGTTTTATTCTGTTTACTAAACACTGTTTCTTGGAAGGTGCCAGCTGACCCTGGGCCCTGCTCAGTGTCCCCCGCAGGGGAGCTGGTCCCGGGGCCCATGCGCCAGGACACACAGGAGGCCTATTGCAGCTGAGGCCCAAGGCCCACTGCCCAGAAGGCACATCTGCTTGACGTCAGACCCCCCACTGGGAGCAAAGGGAGGGGAGGAGGGGTCCTGGGCGACGTCACGTCACAGGCCACTCAGGACAGAATGGCACCTGAACCCACAGGAGCGAGCGGGGCTCAGCTGTCATCCCGAGGAGCCCCGTGCTCTGACCTTCTCGGGAGCAGCCCCCCTTTGTTCCTAGGGGCACACAGGCCTCGCTAGTGCCGTGAGGATGTGGGAACCACACGATTGCCCCGTACGACGTTCCCCAGGCAGGCCCCCGGCTGCTGGGGCATCTGCAGGCTGCACCGTCCATCCAGCCTCCTTCCCTCAGGAGACCGAGCTCGCGGGGGGG